TTGACATCAATGAGTCAGTATAAGAAGAAATCATGGGTTCCTAGTCTTCAACATCCAAGTTCATTTGGTGACAGCACAACCTCAATAATCACCAAAATAATGAGGCGCAAAATGGGGAAATAAACTCATTGTAATGATATCTCCTGGGGAGGATGGGGGCAAGCTCAGAAATGTGCAACCTGACCCGAATTGAGCTCAAGAAATGGTCTCATGTATTCAAATGTGAAATCTGGCTCACAGAAAATTAGAGGGGCTGACGTTGACTTCAGTACTTCATTGATCCGAGAAGTGGTTTGATTCTGTCTCAACCATAGTTCAAAGTTGGCTTAGGCTATGGAGTCATATGCTGTGCATTAGGGCTGTGAGAAGACTTCATGGTAAATTCAGGCATGGTCAAGGTCTTCTTTGATCCCATCAGAGTACCTTGCAACTATTGATGATCCTATAACATGACTGACTGAATGAGCGCTGGTAATCACTTAGAAATGTTTTTGCCTCGCTGAGAAATCTTATGTTTTCAGGATCTTCATGTCATAGAGATAAACCACAACTCTGAAAACAAAACAATGGAGAACACTCTTTGGAAAGGAAAGAAATTTGAGGAACATGAAGAAGGAAAGTTTTAAATGCCGAAAGAATAGAAATAAAGAAAGGGAACTAAAGACAATATCGAAAAGAAAAACAGAGGCATATCCAATGTCTTAAAAAGTGGTATGGACAACCACTTATACGACCTTCTAGGCTTAAGCAGTACGTAGGCCGACAGAGCAAGTGTTGAGAGCATCTAAGCAAGTATGGGCCACTTAAGCAAGGCGTGCCATGTCAACAAAATGGCATGTTGCTGCTTACGCATAGTAATGAACGAAGAGAATTAGGTCAGGATCATATCAAAATCCATTTTAGATAAAACACTAAGGGTAGGGTTTTGAATCTTTAAAAAAAGAAAATTCCTCTATCAGTGTACCCCTCAGCCTTTCTCTTTACCCTAGAACTGCAATTCTCATTCCTCATGTTGTGATAGAAACAATCGCCTTAAAGAAATAAAGTACCAAGAAAATGCCTACAGGTCGTTTAAGCGCCCACCTAGGCACCTAGGTGTTGGGTGATGGGTCTAGTGCCCAAAGCAACCCAACACGTTCTAAAAACATTGGGTAACTCGCTCAATATATCATTAAAAAGTCAAACGATTTCATTGATCAACTAAATTCTGAAATTTTCTAGTTTAACACAACTTTGCTTATAGGAAAATAAAAAAGAATAAACATGGAATGTCTTAAGGAAAATTACAATTTGAATAAATATAAAGCTAAACTGACAATCAAACTAAATAGTAAAAATAATACTATTCAAGTCAATTTTTCTCAAATAAATAACATTGTAAAAATACAACGTAAACCTAGCTCACATATGGTCTCTCCATTTTGCATCATAAGCATGATTAGAGTTAACTATCTATGCTTCATACTTATCCTATAAAATATTGCAAGGCATATATGGAAAATGACCATCCTTAAGATTCCAACAACAATGACTAATTTCCTAAGAATTCAACCCGGCCATCTCCAACTGCTAAAGAACACAAAAGACAGAAAAGGGAAAAAAATCTTTCCAGCAACCCTCTTCCTTTGCATTTTGAAATGGCAAAGCATGCAACCACATACTGGAAATTATATTTCGACACAGTTTTATCACACAGGACTCAAAAAACAAGAATCAGTATTTAGTGGATATAATTAAACAATGTCAATTAGAAACCTCACCAGAATACAACCTTCTTATACTAGTTGAACGTGAGACATATACAAACAAACCCATATCTACTCAATTGAAATTGAATTACATGAAAAATTAATATTCTGACAACATACAGTTGATTGCTCTGCTTTGTGGAGATCATACCTCCCCAGCGTTAAAGATAAATCTCTGTTTATCAAAGAACAGCAAAACTGATGGTGATGTATCCTGTGTATCCATTCCAGTTCCCAAAATCTAACATATAAGAGAAAAGACAACAATCTCAGTCTGGCCTGGAAACTGTGGAAAATAGAATAAGAATCCAGAAACAACCTTAAATTTCACTTTGGTTTGTTAATCCATTAAAGTAACAAAAAGATGCTATTGACACAACATGCAAATCACATAAGATAATGCTCAAAATCGAATTATAAGGGCAAAAACATGAAAAGAACCACAAATCCATTAAATTTCTGAAAATGAAAAAATTCAAATCAAAAGTAAAACTAATGCGCATTCATGCCTAAACAACTGAAGTAAAGCACATTCTTTTTGACATTTGAGTGAAGCTACCGTTTGGTTGACAGTAAATACATTTACAGCCGCAATGTTGCAAGGAAATTTCTCTTTCCAATGTTTTGTTCGCAACAAGGCTGTGTAAATAGTACTTGGATTTACATTTTGTAGAAAATATCTGTAGCATTAGCTGTAGCCCATTTGGCTGCAACCTAAGTTGCATGGAATTGTTAGATATAGGTGCCCTGCAGGCAATTATTGTATATTGTAACAGGACCTATATGTATATAACTTGAGTTCGAGCAGCAGCCCAGCGTCATATTATTATCATAAATCTGATGGAGAAAGTTACAAATAATATACTTTAGATTATTATTTTGTGATAGATTCATATTTTAGATTATTAGTTGAATTTTATAAATTTTTCTATACATAATAATAATTTTAAAAAAATTCATTGTCTTATCCTTGTATCCTTTTTTTTTTAGATTTTGCCGTATCCCGTATCTGTGTCTGTGTCGTATTCGTGTCCTATATCCGTATCCGTGCATCATAATCTACCAGTTTAGGCTTGTATTCAAAATC